CTGGCACAATGAACTAGCATACTCTGAGAAAAGAGAAGATCAGCATTCCTCTGTCACATCCTGCTTTATGGCCCCAAGGAGTTGATATGATAGAGCTCAAAGGAGTTATTTAGGTCACTGAATCCAAATCCTGTTTTGCGCAAGTAGTTTTTAAGCTAAGACTGGATTGACACTATTAGGGTAACATAACAAGGATGTATATTTCCTTGGACTGCACAAGATACTTCTTAAAGACAGCATTTCCAGGCGGGGAAAAAAAAGATTTTATAATGTTTGTGAATGTACAGTGTGTTGTGAATATGTGAGGGTCTGCAGTGACTTTCTTCTAATCATCATCTGGCAAGGTAGTCATATGCATCTATCAATAAACATCAATTTTATGGGCAAGAAATTTTTGTGAAAATAACTCTAAACTATCTTCAAGTTGCATTTCTATACTTTCTTACTATGGAGTAAATGTCACAAGATTCAGGGGGATTTACTTCTGAGTACTTCTAAGGTTGGTTGGAATCCTTGTACTATTCCCGAGCTTCTGAAATGTAGATCTGAATTAACACCTATGTAAATTATTAATGTCAAAGCAGCTGGCAGCACCTAGCTGATCTTGGTGGATATTGAAAAATTTAAGTGAAGTTGCACTATTTAGTACTTGGATGGGGGAATCACCAGGGAATTCTACTGCTGCAGGCCAGACAGGGAATTTGGAAGAAGGCAATGGCAAACCACTTCCATATTGCTGTCCACAATATGGCATCATCAGATTTTGAGCTTGATTTAAAAAGATTACAGGTAGTGCTCGCTTAACAACTACAATAGAGACCGTAAAATTCGTTGTTAAGCAGGGCAGTGCTAAGTGAAGCATCACGTAACCATATTCAATTTTACAACATTTTTTGTGGTGGTCATTAAGCGAATCATGGTTAAGTGAACCATGTGGTCGTTAAGCAAATCACGTGGTTCCCCATTGATTTTGCTTGCTGGAAGCTGACTGGGAAGGTTGCAAATGGTGATCACATGATCCTGGGATGCTGCAACTGTCGTAAGTGCAAGATGATTGCCAAGTGCTCAGATTGCAATCACATGCCTGTGGGAGCATTGTGATGGTTATAAGTGCAAGGACGGGTCATAAGTAGCTTTTTAGTGCTTCAAACAGTTGCTAAATGAATGGTCGTTAAATGAGGACTACCTGTACTTTTTAAATTAGTAGAAGTAATGATGGAATCAGCCACAAGAGGAAGGAGACACACTATTTTCCAGGTATCATAACCAATTTCCATGATACTAAAAATTAGTTATAAGAAGTGTTTTAGTGGATCAGATAAAAACTTCAACTAATCTATCATTCTGCCTCCAACTGTGCCAACTCTAGATCCAAGAAGGGTATGTATATGTTGAGGGAGAATGGAGAAGTTTGTTAAAAATAAACATACTCTGAATATTTAATCCAGCTTAGTAATAGAAAGTCTTTGTTATTAATAATGGCCAATAGCCATTAGTATGCTTATCCTTCCTTACACTCAATAATCTAAGCCCCCTATTAGGTTCTGGCTGTTCTGCTTAGAATTAGAATAATTGAAGCTGTACATCTGGAGTACCACAAGTTGGGAAAAGCTTGTAAAAACTACTGACTTTCATCTGGTGCTAAATATTTCCATGTTAGTGCACTTTGAAATGCTGTTGCTCTGAACTATTTTCAACTATTTTTATTTCATTAAATGATGCAAATCAGAAAAAGGCTATGATTGCATAACATGATAAGAAAGTGCTATAACCATCCATCTGTGTATATAGCATAAGTATATATACTATACAGTATGTGTGTGTGTGTGCACACGTATATACACACACACACTATATATACTGTATAGTATATATATTTATACTATATACACAGCTGGATATATAATATATAACTATGGTTGGGATTATTCTTATTATTATTTTCATCATTTTTGTTATGGATAAAGCCTCAAGATTTGAAAGTGACCTGGGACTTCCCCCTCCCCCCATAAATGCAGCTCATCAAAATTTCTCAAGGTAAGTAAACTGTCATAGAAAGCAAACTGTCATAGAAATCTATTTGTATATTATATATACAACTGTCATAGATATATATTTTTGGAAATGAGTTACCCATGAAGCCACATTTTTAACCAACTTTTCTTTCAGGTCTCCATTTCAAGACATTATTTTGGTGTTTTGTTTTTCTATAGCTTTTATTGTGTTGTTAGAGAGGACTGTTCAGAACCCAGCATCGTATTTCAACACAAGGATCGTCAAGTAAAAGAGATTTAAGAGCTAGAAAGAATTTCAGCATCCTGTCCACTGCAGACATAAAAAAAGCCAATGAGTTTGCATATGCAGAGAAGCTGCTGATAATCCAAATCAACAAAATTACAAATTCTTTCACCCATGTAGTTTTGATGGTATAAATGTGGAAGTACTTGTAAGCCTTGATAACAAACGACTGTCAACAGCAGTTTGTGGACAGTGTGGGCTGCATACTCCATTGCAATTAGTTTTCAGGGCCTGCTTCTTTTATTCTGCAGAAATAACTACTTTTTCCTGCCCTTAGTTTAGCACCAAAGTTAGTATTTGTGTTGTCAGCACCAAATCTAAAACCATTGTTTCTTAAAAGTTATTCTTGCCAAAGGGCTTACATGTTTCTCTACATGCTACGTAGAAGTTTTATGAATCTCAGATATAAAGTCTAAAGATTTTCACCTTCACACCCTTACAGTATTTTACTGTACGAAATACTTTCAAATGTAAAATACTGTGTGAAATAACAAAATGAATAGAAAATATTACACATTTTCTTTCCTATATCTTTGCTTAGAGTATATAGAACTTCAGAAATTAAGAATAATTTCTTCTTTATAGAGAACACTTAAATTGCTTCTTTTTTTGGAAAGAATGGCTATACAATATATTCTAGTATCAGATGAGTCAGCAAAAGTACCGGAATCCTGGTTGCTCATTCCTTACAATGCTGTATTGAGGATGCCTCCAAAGTACCAACAAAGCATTTTATAACAAAATAAAATGCCTACTCATACTGCATATAATTTTTTAAAAAGTGGTGAGAAAAAGTAGTAAATTAAAGTGGAAATTGTGGGAAACTTGGGAAAGAGTGATTAGTAATCTTAGAACTCACCATATTGCAGTCAGGGAGAACTGAATGTGGTCAGATTAGTGTTCTAGATTTCAAGAGAGCTGACTTCAATAAGTGTAGGAAGGCTTCCACAGTTGGAAATCCTGCAGAACAACACTTCTTTGGATATGTGTGGAACAAGAGGAAAGTCAAGGAAAAGGTCTGTCTGCTGGTTGGAGAAGATGGCAAGATGGTCATGGACAACAGGGAGAAAGCTAATCTGTTTAATTCTTATTTTGCATCTGTTTTCTCAAAAGGAAAAAGTGGCCCAACCTGTTAGGGGGTGCATCATGGGGAGACAGAAGAGAAATGCAGGTCAAAATAGGCAAGAAAGTGGTAAGAGAACTTCTAGCTGCTTCAAATGAATTCAGCTTGTCAGGGCCAGATAGGTTATATACCAGGATACTAAAGATACTGGTCAATGTGATATCAGAATCACTAAGTAAAATCTCTGAGAACTTCTGGAATATTGGAGAAGTGTCAGAAGATTGGAGAAGAGCTAATACTGATCTGATCTTTAAGAAAGAGAAAAAATGGACCTAGGAAATACCAATCAATGAGCTTGACATCAATACTCTATAACACCTCAAGCAGTGCCTGAACAGTAATTCCATTCATTTGCACCTGATCACAGTGCATGAATGATAATACAGCCCAACTGGTGCTTTTTCTATATTTGCATTAACGAACAGCAATGCATATCATTTACACTTTAAAGTAGCAGAGATAAAGAAGTGAATAAAATGCTGTCAGAATCCAAACTGGTAAAGGTACTTGTTTAATTTGCAATAAGATGCAGAATATTGGCTCTAAGCTTCACAAAGACACAGGGTGTTTTGAATCTGGAGACAGAAGATTCACTAAGGCTGACTAAATAGAAACCCTGAAACATCCTGAATTAATTCTCCAAAAAATGGCAGAGTTCAGCAAACATTTAATGGATTAATAGTACCAAAATAAGATTTTATTTTATTCCAATCAAGAGATTGACTGAAGTTACATTTCAATCATTTTAGAATTCTTAAAAAGATTCTGAGCAATTTGCCTACAAAAAAAGAAAATGCAAGTGCTCATGTTCCATAGTTTATATATAAATGTATTCACTGCATTGGGCTTTGTGTGTTTTGTACAAAATATACAATTTGTTAGTATACAAATTGAAGTATAGAAATCCCACACTAGAGTGCATACATCTATCACTATAACCTTCACATTCGCAAAATAATCCCATCATGTAGAAAGAAAACACATTGCTACAACAAATCTGGAGCTCTTCTGTAACCTGAGTTCTTTACTGTATACATGTTGAGTCCAGGCAATTATAATTTATTTGGAAGCCACAGATTAAAAGCACTAGGGCTATATGCATTTTGAAAATGATTAGGAATAAGAGTGTTGAACTTTATGCAAACATAATACTTCTCTGCTATTTATGAAAAAACAAAATTTAAGGCTTCTTTGCCAGACTGGAAAAAAAAAGTGTCATTGCTTTAAGGAATCTACTGATTAGAGTTAATTCAGTTCTAAATATAAAGCAGTATCAATGAAGTACTGCAATTTTTTGTCCTGGCCCTGTTGTGATCCATCAGAAAGCAATCTGTTATTTTCTACATACTATAAATTATAACTACTTACTTTAAAATGTATACTAAAATCTTTAGTAAAGTGACTTAAAATACAGGATATAAAACCTTACCAAAGCACAGTCTACACTTTCAAAAACCATTAATTAAAAAAAAAGTAGTTCAGGCTTGATATTTTAACCAATGTTAAAATATGTTAAGGGATGCATGAACATAAATGCAAAACTTTAAAGTTCTTAAAGACTTAGTTCCCCTGTGATAAAGACATTTTCTCACTCTGTGTTCCCTGCTCCCCCTTTAGTAAATGGAGGAACTTGTCTATTGATAGCTTTGGAACATGTAGAGTTTAACAACTAAATTTTCCAGAATTAGCTAGTGCTGATAGTGAGCTACTTGAACTTTTAAAACACATGGAGCTACTTATATGATTGCTTGTGTTGCTGATAATGTCAGAATGTCAATGGTTGAAAAACTAAAATGTTTTCTGAATTATTTTACATATATTTGTCTTAGATCAGCACAGGATTACTAGAACTTATCTTCCCTTCTTATTGTTCTGACAGAAAACACATATAAAACTTAAAACAAGAAAGAGCTTTTGGGGGGTTTTGTTTGAAGCATCACAAGAACTTGCAGGAGTCTTATGAAGTTAAATGAAAATACCATACAGGACATTAGTGTGTAAAAATACAGAATTTCCAACCACTAAGGAGAGGGGTGAAATTACATAAAACCTTACATGGAGGCATCATATAATGTAACATCTGTATCCTTCTCTCTCTGAGAGCTTAAGGGAAAGTGGATTGTGTATACCATTCTAATAGATTCTTAAGAAGTTAATGTCATACCAGATAAAAATAAACAGGAAAGGTGAGACCCAAGCCATCCTGACTGAGTCCATCAAGATGGGGCCATGCAATCTGGCAAAGTACTAGTCTTGTTTTAGTGAGTTTGAAAATATTTAATGAAGGCCAGAAGAAATAATGCTGATTACATCATTCATATTCTATAAACTATCCTGTCATAGGTAGCATTTAAGTATATGGCTATGCCACTGGAAAAGTAAAAGTATACTTCTAAAACTATGGGTTGGATCCAGAAAAAAGATTTTCCTGCTTGTCCACAAGAAAGAGGATGGAATGCTCTTTTATGCAAATTCTCTTTTGTGTATTTCTTGTGATTGCAAAAAAACTGCTCCAGAAGACTGGGGGAAAATTTATGAAAGCTGGCTAATAGGGGCTGTAAGAACTACTAACAATGCTTTGCCTATTATGAAATGAAGGTTCACAGGCTCCTTTATTCCATACCAAAAATGGAAGAACTATTTTGGGTTACAGGCAGAAAATATGGTGCTAAATCCATGCTTCTTAATTGCAAGTAACTTTGATACTGCAGATGGAATGAGACTGCTGGTGTACAACTTAATTTTGATTCCATCTATAGGTCAAGTTTTCTTTAGTGGACTACCCAGGCAAACCTGCATAACTTGTTACATAAAATATTTAATTTCTTCTCTTCTCCCACATCAGAAAGCAAGAAAATATTCCATTTTTAACAGTCCTTTAGGATGAATTTTAGGGTCTCTCATTCCAATTTATTTTAGGAAACAAATATTATTTCAATTTTTTATTGCATTCTTACAACAGTTTATAAAAATTCAGTGTGCTAAATATTTGTGCAAAAATACATACAAGAGTTTGTTCAATGCATTCTTTCCAAAGAGGCTCAAGTAGTATTCCATTCTATCAAATTCAGCACAATTTCATTTGTCTGACTGCATTATGAAACAATCAGATACTTTATCATACATTTATTTTCTCTCTTTATAATATTTCATGTAAGTCATAAATTTACTCATCCTCAGAGAAACGGATATGCTTGCTTATCTCTTGAGTCTTTGCCAGTCTCATTTTTTCAGCTTTTGCTATCAACTATAAAAGAAAAATAAACAAAAAATATTACATTACTATTTTAATTCAGAAAATATGAAGATTATCCATAAAACTACCATTTGCAACTAAAAACTTTAAAATCAAGAACAGCCCAATTACAGGTACAGAATTTTAATTTCCTTGATTTTAATGAGACATGGCTTACTTTTAACAATTTTATGCCTACTACTGCTCTTCAGGCTGCATCTCCTATTTAACAAAATCCTTTAAAAAGTTGGGCTACTTAATCATTAATTTTATCCTCAAATATTAAAAAAAAAAATCTGCAGAAGCTTAGTGAGCAATATGGGCTTATCAAATAAGAAAACCTTAGTAAGCAACATTACTGAATGGGGATTCAAACATGTTTTTTCTGGACCCAATTAGTCTGCCACGCTTTCATAATCTTAGCAACTTCCAGAAGGACTGAGGAATTCTGGAAGATGCAGTCTCAAAGAAAAATGTTTTACAAAACAATCTATAGTTTTGGATTTAATCAATTATGTAATTGTGATTTGGATGCCATACTATGAAAATACTTGCTTTTTAAATATGAATTTTTAATTTGTCTTTTTACATATCCCCAAAATCTAAGTTTGGCAACTTTGCAAACATTAAAAAAAATTGTAACTAGACAGTGCTGATAATCTCCAATAAAATCTTTTATTAAAAATGCCAAGTTTATTGATAAGTCTTAGTTTCTACAAGCAGTTAAGTTAATTCCCAATAGGATGAAAAGGCAATTCAGCTACTAGCAGCAATAGAACAATTTAATTTAATATAAGTGCATTAAGAACTTTAATAAGTTTTATGACTATAATTGTTGATGATTGGTAAGGAGACAGGAAACTGGGGTCACACATGTTAAAAATTGAGCAAAACCTCTGATATTCAATAGACAATTTATGAAGTGAGGATAATTATACAGATAACTAGATATATGGATAGATAATATTTATAAACCATCTGCTTTTATCTCCAGCTTACTCCTCTGAAACATCAAGCATAACAAAATATCAAATAATATTTAATATTATTAAACAGTTTAAGTCAAATGAATGTTTTGCAGAGTTATTTTTATCACTAAAAGAGGGCACTGGCAATTAATTTATCATTTATATTAATTTATTAGAATTGTTTAATTTTAGGTAAAATTGTTTACATGATTTCAGAAGCTTTCCCTTTAAATCATTGTGTTCATGGAAAACAATGCTTAATATACTTGAATAATGGCAACTTTTTTCCCAATGGCCATAATCGCATTTCATTGAATAGCAACAGCAGATGGAAACATTTCTTTCATTCCATACCTAGGTAGAAGATAGAAACAAAAGCTACATTTTCCTGGGTGGATTCCATACTGAAGTCATTGAAAATCCACCTACCTACTGATTCAGGAAGACAATTTCAGCCAACAGTATTAAAGTGGTCAATGGTTATGCAAATCTTACAGGAATTAACAGCACAAAAAATAGTGTCAATAAGATCCCAATGCTTGAATCATTATGGTTGCATGTACTCAAAATGTAAAGCAATTTGAATAACAAGTAGGATGCAGGATTCTTCAGATTTTTGAGGTTAATGATTTAATACCTAGCTTTGAAAATCCCTTTGAAATGTACTAGCTTTCAAAAGCACCCATTTTTAACAGAAAATCGCTTTAGAAATTATGCAGCTAGGATTTGCTTTTGGACCCAGGTTATCCATTAGTTTGATACACAATTTATAATACTTTTGAAAATAATGTCTAATTCTGACAACACAGTCCTTAAAAACTACTCCAACTCAGGATCTGAAAATCAAACTAACAGAACCTCATTAGGTTTTTATTGTTGTCTAAATTTACTATTTCTTACTATAAAGAAGACCAAACTACTTTCAGGCAATGTATGGCCTGATAATTCTGGTACAAAGTTAAATGATTGAACAATAAAGTAAACGCTTCCCTTAACTCTGGTTGCAAAGGGAGATGTATAATCGTTGTAAGAAACAACATGCTATTGGATGTCCATAAGAACATGCTATCTATAGGTATTTCTCGCTTAACAACAGTAATTGGGACCAGAATTTCTGTTGCTAAGCAATGCAGTCATAAAGCATGATGTCACATAACCACATTGCTTAGCAATGGCAATCTCTGCAGTCCCTGTTGCCGTCGTTAAGTGAGGTTTTCAGATCGTTAAGTGAGGACCTCCTTGCAACTTCCTGCTGGCTTCCAACAACCAAAGACAGAGGGGAAGGTGGCTTGGAAGCAGGTAAGTGGCTGCTGCCAGGTGAGAGAGGGTGCACGAGGGTGCATGGGTAGCTTGCAAGGTGCGGTGTGAGTACAAGGCTCAGGGAGAGTGCGCGGGTGGCAGCGAGGTTTGGGAAGGGTGAGGGTGTGCAAGTGGCTGGGGAGGTGCGGTATGAGCGCAGCAAGGCTCAGGGAGGGCACACAGACACCTGGGGAGTTGCAGCACAAGCACAGCAAGGCTCAAGGAGGGTGTGCAGGGGGCTGGGGAGGTGCAGTGCGAGTGTGGCAGGGGTGGCTGCTGTCAGGTGGGGGAGGGTGCACAAGGGTGTGTGGGTGGACGGCAAAGCGGGGCACAAGCACAGAGGGGCTGGGGGAGGATGCACAGGTGGTGGAGACTTACCCGAGCGACTTGCGACGTTCCCTGCCAGCTTCCCCATTGACTTTGCTTGCGGGAACCAGAACGGAAGGCTGCAAATGGCAATCATGTGACCGTGGGACACTGCAACTGTCATAAGTGCAAGCTGGTTGCCAAACACCCAGATTGCAATCATGTGACCACACGGGTGGTGGGATGGCTGGAACTTTGAAGACTAATTGTAACTACCACTCATTCAGCGCCGTTGTAACTTTGAACGGTTGCTGAACAAATGGTGATTAACCAAGGACTACTGGTATTGTTATTGGACTAAACTTCTTTTTATGTACTTCTCCTAATTACCCTGATATTGTCAATTTAGTTTTGAATATTTGAATACCAATTCCCTTGTGCTGGTTAATGACCACAATAAAATTTTTCCATTTCAGTTACTGGGCTGGTGTTCGTATAGTTTCTCCAGTATTCCTCAAACAGTTTCAACAAATACAAGTCTTGAGATATGTCAGAGACTAACAAATGTATTACTATATATGCTTTTACAGCAGAATGTGATGATGGAAAGTTTGTACAGTAACAAATTTGTTCACCTTTGAGATAGCACATAATTCTACTAGAGATCCACTGAACTATCTTGAAAAAATAAAGCTGCCTTATATTGATTAATAGTTCCAGCAGTGCTAGACAGATCAATTATGCCTAGCTCACCTGGTTTATTCTGATTGGCCTCAAAAGTATCAGTGCAACTGAGTTTTAGCATTTCTTTTTAAATGAATGAAACCTGGTTACACGCAGAAATGGAAGGAATTACGTATATCTACAACTGAAGAATGGATAGTGAAATTAATGGAATTGACTGAGATGGGGAAACTGAAGTAAGTAAGTAAGTATGGTTAAGTAAGTAAGCATGGTTAAAAAAACAACTTTGGCTTTGTTTCTACCTGGAAACTGATTTTGGACTTTTTGCTTGAAACTGAAAGAAATTAAACTTTAATTTGGAGGGTTTGATGACTGTTATTTTTTATGGCTAAAGAAATACTTTGTATTAGTTTAAACATTAGAGTAAGAGATGAATGTATTATACATTTATACCTTACCAAAGAAAGTTGGAAGTTACAGTATCTTTTTTCTTTCTTTTTTCTTTTTTTTTTGCACTTTAAATTTCATTCCTTTTCTGATCTTCTTTTTTTAACCTTTTTTTTCTGTTTCCTTTTATTTTATTCTTTGTTGAAACTCAATAAAGTTTTTTGAAAAAAAAAAAAGAATGAAGCCTGGGATCTTATTAAAATCTATACATGAATTAGAAGTTCCAGATCATTTATCTTACTTTTTCTGTGCCCCGCTTCTTTTCTCTAGGTTGATTAAGTTTAGCCTGCCGATCCACCAAGATCTTCTGCCAGTATCTTTGTTCATGATCACCTTAATACAAACATATTGAACCAAAGTACACAACTTTACTTAACATGGCCCTGTGTCAATATATTATTATTATTCTTAAATTAAAAAGATGTTCTTATCATGCCTATAAAAATACAGAAATGTGTGCACATGAATAGCATTAAACTGTGGCTGGTGATATGGGCAGAAAGGGTGTTAGTCCAAAAGCACATAAAGTTGTATGCGTAAGCGGGACTCCTGATAAGCCCATTTCTAAATCTTTACCCTAAACACACAAAAATCTTTAGAAGCCACCAGACATGAGACTTTGGGAGTTGAAACTGTCATGCATATCCACTTCCCCCATCATAGTTTATTCTTACTTGAGTGTAAGTGACTGACATCTATAGCTTATTTCTTAAAAAGAAAACATTTCATATCAGAGAAAAAGCTACAATTCTTTTCAGGTTATACAATGTGCATCTTTCTTTCTTTCTGTTTGTTTCCTTGCTAATTCTGTACTGCATGAACAAATAAAAATAGACCTTCTGAGTATGAATACTGTCTTGAAAACCTACTAAAAAGAGTGGGGGAAGAAGCAAAGAGCAAACATAAGAACTTAAAACATGTTCCTGAATTTATATGCACAGAAATATGACTAAGGGGAAGGGAGATGAAATACAGAATATATATAAATTTGAAAAATCACGATTGTAAAAGATAAATGAAATCTCTAATTATTTTGCTCCCTTCCATCGGAGATCATTTTATTGAAAGATCCCCTTTTTAAACTCTTGTAACTGACATATACATAGGGCTTAGCATTTTAAAAATAAGAGCTAAAAATTACAGGTAGTCCCCGGGTTAAGAACACTCAGTTTATGGACGACCCAGTTAAGAATGGAGCCTATTGTAGCAAAATTTGAGATAAATACACAATGAATTGAGTTAAATAACCAATGGTTCGAGTTAATTACACAATACTACTTAAACCGTATTATACAATACTGGCTTACATATGAATTTGATTTAAGGACAGACCTTGGGAACAGAACTCATTCTTAAACTAAGGACTACCTGTAAAGGAAAGCAGGGGAAAGATAGGATCTGAATTTTTACTTGTTATGTAATAGTTTGAAGAGTTGGTAAACAATCTATAATGAGGGTATAAGGAACAGAGTGTTCTTAATCAGTTTGTATATATACTACTGGGCTGCTCTGTATCATTCTAATTTAAAAGGGTATATCTAGCAGTTGGCATTCCAGACAAATTTTAATCGCTATTGCCAGTGATTTCCTTTTTAACAAAGGGAAATATGTGGCTTAAGCTCCAGACACAGAGAAGTGACACTAGCTAGATTTGAAAAAAAAAAAATTCTGGGGACAAATACCAGAATACAGAAAGTCATAACCTAAACAAGTGTATTTCCAAAACCAATATAACATGTGCACACCACATAAATATGCATATAAACCTCACCTGAAAGGATCTCAAATTTCCAGTTGTTCTTTGTCTGCAGCTCTTTATGTGAGTTTATTAAAATTTGTGCATCTCCAGGTGTTTTAAGCCGCACATGACATTCTGTATCTCCTTCCAGCAGATCAACATAAGCAACATTAGCTAGTGTTGTTAGCAGGTCCTATGATGAAATGGATGCACCACATAAGATACATTTATTACTAACATTAATTTTTATCTACTTGTTAAGGAGAAAGGGGAAGGAAAATAACAGTATTATTTAATCACACGGTGGTGACTAAAAAAAGAAAAAAATACAAAGCAAATGCTGCAAATTTAGAAAAATATAAAGTACAATATGATAATGCTCAAAAAGAGAGTAAGAATTCTGTCTTTATCTCTGTGGAATGTTATATTTGTTCCTATCTCCTTCCATCTCTACCTCTCTCATACAGTGCTGTAGCACTCTAAAATCCAATAGATTAGGACATAGATTTTCAAAATATGTAGTTCTAATCAGTAGACTTTTCATTTTCATGCTTTTTGTCAATTCATGTTTGTATGCTGTATGCACTGTAATATCAGCACAAAACAAATTAAATAAATAATATGATTACAAAAATGTGTATGCCATTGCTCTGTCAAACCAGTCTTAGTTACTCTGTCAAGTAGGTCAGTTTGCAACATTTGTCCACGGCCAATGAGTGAACTGCACAGTAATAACAAAGGTTACCCGTTTCCAAAAACTAATTCTATAGCTGGCACACACTATTTAAAATGCTTTATTTACTGAAATTAAAATCTTCTATCATTCAGTTCTTTAAGCCCTGCACATCCAGATGTGAATCTCAATAAACGTACTGTACTGTAATTCACAAACAGAAGCTGGAATAATAAAAAGTATCAACTTATCTGGTATACTTTTCCAGCTCTGAACATATAGCCTCCATGAGCAATTACAGAGAGATTTAAATGTTTAAATATTAAAATTGTCTTACAAATAATTTCAGATGATAAATCTGGCAAGATTAGGACTACATACATTCATAGAATAGCAAGACAAAAAAATTTACATTATATATTTCCTAGGCAATAATTATAATATTTAACATCTTAAGAATTTATATTGTTCAAAGCAGTTTGTTTGTATAAATACAGTTCACTAAGTGTTATTATTCCCATGTTATAGATTGGGTAGAAAAGACTCAGGCTGAAAGACAGGAGCTTCTAAAAATACCTAAAGAATTACCAAGGAACTATTCAAACTGGCAGATTTTCTATTTCATGGCCATAGCTCAGACATATCAACTCTCTACGCAGAACTTTTAAAAAGATTCAAAAGGATAGCTGAATGCTATCAACAGTTTTCAATGTTCTATCATAGAAAAATAACAGTTATTTCATGTTAAGAGACTATAAGAGTTATTTTCTGTCCCTGAAATATACTACTAGTTCGCATTATATGTTGGTAGTTGCATATTTCAGACACTGAATATGTTTTTTAAAAATGCTTGATGTTCATAGACACATATTGGATCTGACATTGAAGATACCACAGAAGAGAATTCAGATGCAAACTGATGTGGAGATCTAACCTCTTCAATAAAATTTACGAGCCTATCTGCACTACACATGGAATACTCATTAGAGCACAAAACATTTTCTATATAATATTATAGCTAAAATGTTAAATATTATAACAAATATAAAAAAGGCATACATGATAAGCACCAGAACTAGACATCAGGAGCTGTCATTTCTCAAATCACAAAAGAAAATTTATTCACCTCTTAAGAAATAAGGACAAATTATGACTTTTTAAAAAGGTAATTGTACAGGCAAGCAACTCTTTATAGTTAAACAGTTTGAATTCTTTCTTTGAAATAAACTCAGTCTACTTTTTCAGTTAAATAATCCAGGAGTAAAGTTTATTCAAGATACGCGCATCACTAGTTGACAATCAGACTTTATTCAAAGTCATAAAATTCCAAGATATAGATAACTGCTTCTCTAAGATTACTGAAGCATTACCTTGATGTGCTTCCTGCCTGGCAGTGGGTCAGTACTAAGGATTTTCACAATCACCCCACTCTCAAACTGGGGTCCCATTGTATGAATCTTCTCAGCAGGAGCTAAACCATCATTGCTGACAGCTGTTAATTTGAAAAGGAGAACATTAATGGAAGGTCTTAATTTGGTCTCACAATAAATAAAGTTTTTACGATTTCATATAATTGGAATGTAACAGTGTTGCTAGAAATAAGTATGTTTCTTTTAACAGTTTGGCATGCACATATCACTATTGGTAGTGTAAAGACCTACAATATAATACTTAAAGAATTCTAAATGCTACCACTGTACTAATTATATACTTAAATATTTTAAACTAGGTAACTTCTGTAAGTATTCATAATTTTATTGTGGTTTTTTTGAAGACAGCATCTTTATATGCATTGCTACTGAAAAGCATCATGACAAATATGTTTACTAACATTATCAATTTAGCTAATTTTAATTTTTAAAGTTAATTGCTTCTGCAAAGAAATATCTATGAGAGACCTTTCAGCCTTTTCTGAATAATCAGTAACTGCAGACAAGTTTGATTCTTCACAATTAAATTGCCAGAAAATAAAGTTAAAAAATTATGTGTGTAATCGATACAGAAACAGACTGCTACACTTGAATACAACACAATTTTGTGATTTTAATTACTTGAAAGTGGAGTTCAGGCTAATTAAACTGTACTTTTCCACCTCTAAAACTGCAAAATCTACCAACTGCATCCAAATGAAGAAACAGTTATACATTGCCAAATATATATATATATTAAGAAACTGAGGAACTATGAGCACATGTTCAGTCTAGGAATCTGTTTTCATTACTATAACTGAGCTCAAGGTTCTTTTATCTACAGCCCATTCTAATGAAAGGAGACACTCAAAACAGCTTAAGCAAGAATATGGGAATCTTTTAAATTAAATTATTACTAGTGTTAAACAAGCAAAAGACTACTGCAAACAATAAACTGCCCACCCTAGCTAAAGGAACCACAGAAAAAACTGAATACTTCCTAGATTTCTTCAACAGTGCTTAAAAATAGTTCACTATTTCTAATGATTTCTATTGAGGCACAACTAACACCTGGCTAATTGATTACAAGACGTGTACCAACATTAGCACTGCAGGCAAATGTTGCCAAACCATAGTTTAGCAATATTTGTGTGAACAGAAAGGAACTCATGTAAAACATCAGTATTTCCCTCCACTGTCCTCCTGTACATTTACAAATAAAATAGCATGATGTTTTATGTTGATCATTCTAGCTTGTTCACCAGGAATTGTGTTTTAAAATAAACTGCCAATACCATGTGATAACTAAATCAAGGTTTATAGTAGATAAAGCAAATTGGGGAAACACATTTACAAATAAAGACAATTAGTATTTCATGAATATCCAGGAAGTACAAAAAGTGAAACTCAGCAAATAATTTGTCCTCAGAGGAAGAGGGGAGGGGACAATACCAAGACTTTTTTTTTTTTTGGTCAAAGTAGTCAGCCTTAATTGATGTTCTCCAGTTGTGGTAGACTACAATGGATTCTATTCCTCACTAGTAGGGTCACTGGGAAATCTTGCTTTGCAGCTACACGAACTCTTTCCTGTTCTATCAGCAAATACATGTTTTTCTATACAATGTGAACATCATTTGCTAGAAGGTCCTAAGATAAACAAGTGTTCAGTATCCAAAATCTATCTTCACTCCATGGAAGTCTGTGTTATTTTATTAAAATACACCAATTCTGTAATAAAATTGTTAAGATCAGGTTCACACATTTCCTATCCATCTTATTCTTAAACCACAAGCTGTTCTCCTTAAAAAGAAACAGAAGAAATTCACAATTATCTTTACATTTGCCATTTCTTGTTGCAGAGTCATCTGGTGTACAGACATCTGTTTCCATTGCTCCAAAAGTCACAGTGTTTGTTTTGGTCATTGCTTTTTTCAGAGATGACATGCTTGCTTTCTGTAGGGTCAAATACTCTTGCTTCAGCTGCATCCACTCATTCCTACAGAGATGGAGATTGAAAAATGCTAATGCAAAGGTTGGAAATGACGGGAAACAAAGCAACAAATTTAAAAAGAGTGGAATTTCCTTATATAGGGGTGCAAGGTTCCTATTTCTCAATATGGCATAACTGCTTCTATGATGATTTAAAAGAAAATAAGACTAAAACACTAATTCATACAGCATGAGTGTGTGTGCGGGCGCACATGTGTATATGACTTTTTGAAGTTCTATAGAAGTTTTCATTTGACTTTAGAGACCTGAATTTACTGAAAGCTTATATATTTGAGAAAATTAGTGTAACCATCAGAATTCTGTGTCACCTATTAAATAATTCTTTCAGATTTGTTTCTGAAATAGTAAAAAATGTGATTCAGTTTCTAGTGGATCACTTAATATCTATTGGTTGATAGGAGTCTTTCCAGGAATGCTAGGCTAGATAGATATTGGATTGATCTTAAAAACACAAGCAACTGTGCACATTTGGTATCTGTACACAGAGATTAGTTATGAATTAACTGTTTAAGAAAACTTAAATATAAAAGTTTGCTTGTATATTCACCCATACTAGAGATTAGAAGACCAAAGCCTGAACACTCCTGTAACAAGCATTCATACAGCAACTGTTTGAAGTTACAGTGGTGCTGAATGAATGGTACTTATGACAGGTCTTTGAAGTTCCATCCGTCCCAGCACCCCGATGGTCACATGACCACGAACTGGTCACTTGGCAAGTGGCTCGCACTTCCAACGGTTGCAGCATCCTGTGGTCACATGATCGTGATTTACAACCTTCCCTGCCAGCTTCCCATAAGCAAAGTAAATGGGGAAGCCAGCAGGGAAGGTCTCAGGTCACCCTGGTAAAACCCTTGCACCCTCCCTAGTCTGGCAGCAGCCACCCTCAGCCTAGCCTCATTTGCACTGCGCCTCACCTTACGGGCCACTTGCACACCCTTCCCTGCCCAGCAGCAGCTATTCTCAGCCCCACCATGCAGGCCACTTGTGTACTCTCTCCCGCCCAGCAAGAGTCACCCCCAGCCCTGATTGTGCCTTACCTGCCTACCAGCCTGCTTGCCACCTGGGACTCGCTTAACAATCTGTGATCCTCACTTAACGACGACAACAGGAAGTGCCAGGATTGCCATTGCTAAGCAATGCAGTCATGTGACATCATGCTTCACAACATCGCTTAGCAATGGAAATTATGGTCCCAATTACCATAGTTAACCAAAGACTACCTGTAGTCCATTTTTTATTTGCTATTATTGATTAAAGAACTAAACAGTGATGTCTGGATTGCAGCTATTTTTCTAGACTGAGTAAAATATCATTCAAGTAATGGTTACTGAACTATAGGAGGGATATTTTATTCAATATAATCCATTTTCTTTACTTGTAACAAGGTACAATTGGGGCACAGGAAAGAGGAGAATTTCATATTTACACTATCAAGTTTTCCCTAGCTACCAAAACCCTTTCTTAACATACATTAAAAAAAAAACCTAAGTATTTTACAGTAACTAAAAAGAAAAAAGTTCAATAAAAAATAGGTTACAAGCATATGAGAACCTTCTGCAGGAGGAATTTTCTCAGCATCTCTCGAATAAAATCGCTCGGAAACTTTCTCAGTTGGACGCTGGCTTTGTTGCAGGTCCGGTGAAGATGCCTAGAGAGGAGTCTTGCCTGTTATCTGGGAACGGTTTGACCTGTTGGACCTGAGGAAGTGGACAGGGTCCTTAGGGTTGTGAGCTCAGCCACCTGCTCTTTCGATCCATGCCCATCCTGGCTGCTTAAAGCGACCTGGGAAGTGTCACGTGGTTTTAGCAATGGTTAATACTTCCATGAGTGAGGGGGTTTTTTCTTCGCCTCTTAAGGAGACTTTGGTTTTCCCTCTCCTCAAGCAGCCATCACTGGACCTCATTATACTGGACAATTTCCCTCCAGTATCTAACCTCCCCTTTTTGGGGAAAGTGATTGGGAAGGTGGTTGTGCAGCAGCTTCAGAGGACCTTGGATGAAGTGGATTATCTGGATCCCTGGATCCCTTTCAGTCAGGATTCAGGACTGGGTATGGGATGGAAACCACATTGGTTGCACTTTTGGATGATCTCTGGCGAGGACGGGATGGGAGTTGTGCATCCATCCCTGCCCTACTTGACCTCTCTGTGTCTTTCGATACCATCGACCACTGTATCCTTCTGGATTGGCTCAGCGGATTCGGGGTGGACAGCACAGTGTTGTGCTGATTCACCTCCTTCCTCTGGGGCTGATTTCAATTGGTGGTGGCTGGGGAAGAGGGATCCCACCCTCAGCTCCTGTTATGTGGGGTGCTGCAGTTTGGTACTCTCCCCCCTCCTATTTAACATGAGGCTACTGGATGATCTCATCCATTGCCATTGGGTGAGCTATCATCAATATGCTAATGATACCCAATTATACATCTCTGCCCCTGGCAAATTAAGTGATGCTGTGAATATCTTATCCCA